AAGGTAGACAGCACCCCAGATCCCAACAGATGAACAAACAATCCAGAAGGGATCCTCGGCGCCCTCTGGTGGGCAAGCCTCTGGATCCCAACAAAACCAGAGGAAAATAATACCCAATAATTAAAAATAATAATACTCAAGTTGTATATCCTAACCTACCTTTCTATTCCATACAATACATCTAATTTTGATATGTATTTCTTCCTAGTCAAAATGAACAGAAATAAAATAAGTTTCTTCCTATCTAGAATAAACATTCTGGCTGTCTAAAACCGAATTATGACAAGGATGAACTCTAATATCAGATCCCCAGTATATAGTTAATACTAGTCATAATGACCATTTCAGAAATCGATAATAACACACTCCATATATCAAAATATATTTCTACTAGTAGAAATGTAATTACAGATATCAACTGCTAACTATTTAAAGTGGAATTCCAGATATCTTAATTTTAATAATACCTATACAAAATGCAGTTTTATATACTTACAAACATATTTTCACTAGTATTTACCAGAAAATTGTGGCTCCATCTTACAAATAATAGACAAGCTGACTAGTCATACTTCTTTTATTGATAGCACTGAAGCATTCTACCTAGTCACAACATTCCTAGTCAAAATTGTTATATAGATATTAATAATTTTATATCCTCCAGTAGAGATGACATCTTAAGTAATCTGGAATCAAATTTGTCCTAGTAAGAACTACATGTCAGGTATCTACACATCTTTATTCATTTTGAGTGTTTGTTTCAGCATAAATCTGCTTGACTGGATTTGTATTTCAAACATTTTCAATAGCATTCTTCGTATCTAAAATTAATATTTCACATAATTAGATGTGATTCTGTCACTTATTATGTCAATTTTTTCCCCATTCATTTATGTTGGAATGTCACTTTCAGATATCTGAAATGACTTCATGCTAAATAAATATTCTAATACCCATATCTGTAAATACAGTTTTGAATAGTAGGGATGTAGTTTTGACCAGGAAGAATCCTATTTTAGTGATCTACAAGTAAAACAACAGCGAGGAAATAGTTGTCTAAATGGCCTGCCCAAGTGGTGGTTTCTCTTGGCTTGGTGAAATTCCAGCTTGGTTAAGCAGCCAAAAAATGCATAGTATGAGTTCAACATCAACCAACACAAAAACAGTCTGCCAATCTACTTTTAAGATGCATGTATGGTAAACATTCAGACAACATTGGCCTGTGTTTGTCTGCGGTGTTTGCTATGTTACTTTACATCATATTCTTATCTACAAGACAAAAGTGTCCGCATCTTTCTATGACTCGATTCGAGTCAGGGACAGCCGATGAAGTCTCACAAGCGCTCCTTGCCTGTCAGCCAATGACGCACTGAGTAGAGCGATATTATGCCTCATAGAGTCCTGCTGTTATTGGTTAAGACCACGTGGGCTGTTTGGCTTTGTAGCCAATAAAAAAGGGTTTCAAACAAAGGTAGACATGGCTGGGTTGCATAAAGCAGAGCCATGTTGCCGGCTTGCATAAGAATGAAATACACTGCTGAGGCTGGATCAGTGCGCACAGTTTGGACACGTTTCGACGCAGATTTTGCGTCTCCTAAAAAAAAAAAAAATACAGTTCAGAAAACACACTGGGGCTTATTTTACCTCGGAAAGCAGCAGTTTCACTATTATTTATAGATGTTAATGTTATTTAAGGTTTATAAATGTTACTTTTGTTATGTACACTGATTCCTGAAAAAAAAGTGGAAAAATACTTGCTTCATAAATCTTTTGTGGCCATTATAATGCTTCAGTGTTATTCTATGGGTGAAATAGCAGAGTAAAAGCATTGGACAAAATTTGGCACAATCTTGTACATTTGAAGAGGTTGGAGATGCTGGTGACACCAAAAGTTCAAAGCCCCACAGCTCTGGGACTGTTGTAGCTAGAGGTCTGACATTTTCTGCATTTGTGGTTGACATGATGTAGAACAAATGTAATACAATGAGACATGCCTTTTCTCAAGCATGTCTTTATTACTGCTGTTAGAAAAACCTATTATTTAGAGAAGAAAAAAAAACAACTGAGTCAGGTTTAAACTGATGCAGCTTAGGCTCATTTACTTTCAGAAACTAGAAGTTTTTTAGCTTTC